GCAGTTGATCTAAACGAATATATTTTTATCCATGTTTATTTGATTTTTCTGATGCGAGCTGCACGGTGAATTTGACTGCTAAAATCACGCGCTAGCCTGCTACACCGGTGCCGGGCTGCTTGGAATTTCACGGACTCTCCCCCGGGATCATTCCGCAGAGTTTTATCCCCCATCCTTCCCTGAGATCTTCTGCCACTGCGGACTCTGAGCGGAGGCGGTTCGTGCGTGGTTTTCTGACTACGCAGATCTGACCGACGGGGTGCATCCGGCGCCGCCGTTTCGTTCCCCCGAGCCCGGCCGTCCGCGCCCTGCAATTACCCCCATACATCTCATCCCCAACAAACTGCGCGACAGGCTCGAAGATGGTATGCTCCCGCAGCAATGCAGGCTGTGAGCTGGAACAAGGATTACTAGCTGGGCGAGGGTCAACGCTGGAGCCGGCGCGCGGCCGAGAGGAACTGAGGAAGCAAACACTGCGGTCGCTCCTATTTAGTATCCCTCCGTACTATATAGACCCACATGCATCTGAAGCCAAACACTCATCCCATCTCCCCCACGCTGCAGGGTTTCCCACATCATGGGCCTGCTCTCACTCGATACGTCCTACCCGCTGCTCGGCGCTGCCCTCCTTGCTCTAGTGGCATGGAAGCTCGTCAAGCTGTTTTCGACACCCCGCAACTCCTGTCTGCGTGACCTGCCTGCCCCCCCGCCTGCCAGCTGGCTATACGGAAACTCGAAGCAGATCTTCGAAGACGACGTCGCCGTGGTGCAGGAGGCGTGGGCACGGAAATACGGGCATGTGTTCAAGTACAAGGGTTTTCTCAGCGTCAGTCTTGTGCCTGTATGTCCGTATGGTGTCCGATAATTATGTTCATTCCTTGGCTATAGCACGACGTTCTCTACACGACGGATGTGCGGGCGCTGAACCATGTTCTTGGCCATTCGAATGACTTTCAGAAGCCGGGCATCGTTCGTAACAACTTAGCTAGCCTCTTGGGAGAAGGTTTGCTATCCTCTGCATCGCCAAGTGCCATCTCATCTGACTTTCTCAACCTCAATTTTGATGCATGAAGGACTGCTGGTAGTCGAAGGTTCGGAATGATCCCTCATTTGTCTGTAGCGTGTATTGACATTCTTGATAGGCGAGCAGCATCGTCAACAGGTTAGTCCGCATTTTATGCCTGTATTTGTTTTCCTGATAGGCTCGGTCGCTGTGCAGAGGAGAATCATGGTATGCTGCCTCCCCACATTGTTTTTAAGCAATGCCTAAAACACGACGATCCCAGAATCCTGCGTTCGGTCCAGCTCAAATACGTGAATTGACGGAGATTTTTGTTGAGAAGGCTATCCAGGCAAGTAAATTGGCATGCCATCTCGTGACATTTATGTTAATCTGATCTTAGCTGCGCGATGTCTGGAGTGCTCATATCTCCAAAATGGGTGAATCTACGCCTATCAATGTCTCCCGTGGGCTGAGCGACATGACTTTTGATGTTATTGGGTTGGCCGGTATATCATTCCCCGGCTATATGCATAGCAATGGGAATGCTGAATGAACGTGATAGGATTCAACTACACTTTTGATAATTTGGATCCCCAACACAAGCCAAGTGAACTCAATGAGGCTTTCAAGATCATTTTCGCACGAGCATCATCTCGACCTTCTATCTTCCCCATTCTCCGGCGGTTTGTTCCATTCTTCAGCCAGATCGTACGTTTTTATGGTTGTCTGCCTTGTATCCAGATCTGAGAACACTCGCATGGACAGCTCAAACTTTCTAGTTTGGAAAGACAGCGAATTATTGCATTTGGTGTGATGAAGCGCATTGGTATGCAACTTGTCAAAGAGAAGAAGGACGAAGTCCTAAAGGCAACTGCGGCCGAGAAGCTTCAGAGTCGTGATTTACTGACGCTGCTGATCAAAGCGAATATGGATCCCAGCATCCCAGAGAGTCACAGATTGTCTGATGAAGATGTTTTAGCACGTACGTCATGGTACGCGCAGGTGTGCATGCATGATCTACTGACACGAATCTACAGAGGTCCCGACGTATGTTCTCGAAAACGGTCGGGGAATGCCGAGGTGCTGATTCACTGTTCTAGTTTTTTGGTAGCAGGTCACGAAACCACCAGCAATGCCACGGCCTGGGCTCTTTTCGCCTTGAGCCAAGCGCCAGAGGTCCAACAGAAGCTGCGCGAGGAAATAATGAACATACCTACTGAAAATCCCTCGATGGACGAACTATCGGAGCTTCCGTACCTGGATGCCGTCGTTCGCGAGACCATGCGCGTGCATGCGCCCGTACCGGTGACGGTTCGTATAGCTACCAAGGACGATGTCATTCCGCTTCACACGCCGTTCACCGATGTGCACGGAAAAATACACGATAGTGTCAGGTACGAGCACAGTTCGCATATACTATTTTCTGGTCTGACAGGCGGCCACATAGTGTGTCGGAAGGGACATACATTGATATTCCGATCCTGGCGGTCAACAGGTCGAAGGCGTTATGGGGCGAAGATGCGTTTGAATTCAAGTTGCGTCGCTCGCGTTTGTATGTATCTTCATGCGGCTGCTTACATCTACTTCGCTAGGCCGGAAAGATGGGAATCTATACCCCCCGATGCGCACACCATCCCCGGCGTATGGGGCAATATGATGAGTTTCTTAGGCGGTCCGCGGGCGTGTATTGGATACCGGTTTTCGGTCATCGAGTGAGTCCCAATGGCCGCGCCTACATGTATATGACCTAATTGTGCGTGCATGGCTTTGCAGAATGAAGGCGCTCATCTTCACCCTTGTGCGTGCGTTTGAATTTGAGCTTGCTGTCCCGGCCAGCCGTATTTGCGCGGCTCGTGCTGCGGTGCAACGTCCTCGCATCCGTGACGAGGATGAAAAGGGCAACCAACTGCCAATGCTCCTAAAGCCGTACAAGCCGTTGTGAGCGTACTATCGAGCGGGGGGGCAAGCTGGGTAGATATATGCGACTCGCAGTCATGGCGGTGTATACATCACATGTGAGCTGTGACGTCAGTTGAGTATGTGTAATAGCAAGGTGTATTTAATTTCAAGATTGTCATTGGAGCGCTGCCTACGATGTTTTGCAGGCGTAAGTATACGAACTGCGCTCTCATGATCCTGAGGTAGTAAGCGCGTGCCAAATGCTTTCCTCTACACATTGAATAAGATGATGACATTTGATCAAATCGGTTTTACTTCTGATAACTCAAGTACTCAAGGCTGAGTCTTGCCCCCCATTGCGCAAATGTCTCGAAGCACGTCTGGAGGTTGTATTTCGTTGGGAGGTTGAGATATTACTGCGGCAGACCTGTCCGCCGCCAGTGGTGACTAATTCGTTCGACTCGAAGTTGCAGATGCAATTGCCACCGCGGGAGGAGAATAGCAGTCAATGCAGTCATGGTTAGACTGGTCAGACTCAGACGCGCCCAAATGAATACATTTCGCTTCCTCTGCATCCACGATGGACCTCTTCCATGTTGCATGGCTAGGCGCGATCTTGGTTTCTCTGGTGTTGTGGAAGCTTTTCAAGCAGGTTTCAGCGCGCCAAATCTCACCATTGCGAGACATTCCGGGCCCGCCTAATGTCAGCTGGCTATGGGGAAACTCGAAGCAGATCTTCAAGGCAGACGTCGCTGTTTTGCAGGAGGCGTGGACACAGCAATTCGGCAGTACCATCAAGTACAAGGACTTTCTTAGTGTGACTTTACTTCGTGTTTTCGTGATGCCTGCTCACCGTCTTATGTACTAGAACGACGTTCTCTACACCGTTGATTTGCGCGCCATAAATCACATCCTTACTCATTCAAATGAGTATCGAAAACCAGAGATCGTTCGATTCAAATTGGCCGCACTTCTGGGCGAAGGTATGTTTTTGCTTTATTCTGGACTATCGCAGACCCTCATCATAGCTGTAGGGTTGTTGTGTGTAGAAGGTACATATTCACGGACTGTGTACACGGAGTGGTTGCTTATTGGAATCACAGGTGAACAGCACCGCCAACAGGTTATTCCAACTTCGTTCAATCGCCAGAATTATGCTGACCGGAATGGACATGACGCAGAGAAGGGTTATGGTACGTTTCTCCAGCCTTGGCTGCTGAACAGTCGACACCAACACTATTCTCTAGAATCCCGCATTTGGACCAGCCCAAATACGTGAGCTGACTGAGATTTTTGTTGAGAAAGCTGTTCAGGTAGGCTAAGCTCCACTTTCCTTGGTCTGCTCACAAAGGCGGTAATCAGTTGCGTGATGTCTGGCGTCAAAGTGTATGTAAGGATGGCAACTCTGCTTGCATCAACGTTAGCAGCGGACTAAGCAAGATGGCATTCGACGTCATTGGGCTAGCAGGTAAGTCATTGATGAGTATCTCGCAGCATTTCAGATCCTCTAGCGATGAATGACTTCCCCAGGATTTAATTATGACTTTGACAGCTTGAACTCTCAGAAGAAGCCAAGTGAGCTCACGAATGCTTTCAAGGCACTCTTTTCACAATCCACATCAAAGCCTTCCATCCTCCAAGTATTGTCATGCTATGTGCCTTTCTTCCGTCCCATTGTACGTCTTAATATCTTTTTTGCTCAAAATATGCTCCATCATTATCTCCGCTTCTCAAAGGCAAAGGCTGGTTCTGTCCAGAAGTCGATATCCATTGCCCATGACTTGATGAAACACGTCGGCCTACAGATCATCAGAGACAGTGAAGCGGATATTATGAGAATGGCTGAGCTGAAAAACACCCACAAAAAAAATGAGACCATGCAGGGTCGTGATTTGTTAACAGTGCTGATCAAGGCGAACATGGATTCCAACATTTCAGAGAGCCACAGATTGTCTGACGAGGAAGTTCTGGCACGTATGTTTGCAAACATTGACGTGTGTGTGTTGGTGAATGACTGATGCACGTGCATAGAGATTCTAACGTGCGTTGTCTATCAAGCCTCATCGTGTCCAAGGCCTACCGCTGAAGACGAAACGCAGCTTTTTGGTCGCAGGTCATGACACGACGAGCAATGGAACGGCTTGGGCTCTTTATGCATTGAGCCAGGCACAGCATGTACAACAGAAGCTGCGTGAGGAACTCTGGAGCGTCCCTACAGATAACCCAACGATGGATGAGCTACTAGAACTCCCGTACCTCGATGCTGTCATACGCGAAACCCTGCGCCTGCACGCGCCTGTGGCCATGGCCAAGCGTGTCGCAACGAAAGATGACATTATTCCACTGCAAACACCGTATACTGACACCCGTGGAAAGGTGCACGACAGCATCAAGTTCGCTCTCATAATTCATATATATCCAGTCATGACTTATTCGATGTATTGCAGAATCCCTCAAGGTACCTATGTCGACATTCCAATTCTAGCGATCAATAGATCGAAGGCACTGTGGGGGGAAGATGCTTTGGCGTTCAAGTTGCGTCCTCCGATTTGTAATGCGAGCGATTACTGATAAATTGTGGTTTCCGCTAGGCCAGAGAGATGGGACTCAATACCTACGGATGTGCAATCTATCCCCGGAGTTTGGGGCAATATGCTGAGCTTTCTTGGTGGCCCACGGTCCTGTATTGGATATCGTTTCTCAATCATTGAGTGTGTTCTGTCCATGTCTACTCATATGGTGCGATACTCACGCAGACTGTCCTCTTTCAGGATGAAGGCTCTTATCTTCACTCTTATTCGTGGATTTGAATTTGAGCTTGCCGTCCCCGCTAGCAGTATAAGCGCGTCTCGGGGTCTGGTCCAGCGACCTCGCGTCCGCGGCGAGGAAGAGCAGGGTGCTCAATTGCCCATGCTTTTGAAGCCGTGTACGCCTCGATTATGAGCCTGTTGTCTCCGACCTTTTAATATTGTAGTTTTCGCCTAATTTTATCTCGCCATCTACCAAGGAAGTCCGTTCTTTGTGCTGCTGTTCCTCTACTCAAGTATGAGTGCGTCATGACGGTGGGAGTAATACTTCTGGATCGCTTCAGTGTTGATGATCTCAAGCGTTGAGCCCATATTTAAACCTCCGGAGCTCGTGCGCAAACTCTCTCGGACCTCAAATTCAAAGTCCAGGAGTCTGAGACTCGCCGGATTCCGTGATCATCGGCTTTGCACTGCATGGACATTGGACATGTATCAAGTTATCCCAAAGCCATCCATCAACTTTAGACTCGTATGCCAGTTGAACTTAGAATGCACTCATCCGTTTGTTTTCGTCAAGGACATCTGAAAAAGAAATTGGAGCCCAAAAACAGATGAATGCATTCTATGCTTTCGCAGCGGAGTCCAAAAGTCAGGACGGCTGGATACGAGCCTACATCAACTTAACGAAAGTTACACTGGCCGGCATTTCCGGAACAATAGCGTTTCGACTTATTTGTGTGAATGTTTGAGGTTTGTCCGAAGCTGTGAAATGCTTGGAAAATGTATTCATCTTCTGCTCGACAGAGGATTTTCATGTAGAGCGCTGAATAACGTGAGTCAATAGACCAATATTTGACAACAGCTTTGGGTGTGGATCTTGCGCCGTAATCCCGACTCTCATTTGAGGGCAGCGATGTTCTCGGAGATGAGATTGCATTTGTATCGTCCCAATGGTCTCGTACCCAGCCGTGCCTGGTTTGCTAGTAAGTCGGCACATTGACCAGGCCGTGAAACACCCGGGCCCATCATTGCGTTCATCAGCATATATAGACCTTGCTTGGGCCGGGCGACTAAGTCCAACCCGGGTCTGCTATGTCGCTGCTTCCTCATATCGCCACATATGCTACTCATTCACTAGCGATAGCTATCACACTATTGGTTTTATGGAAAACCACTAGCTGGTTCTTGGTCAAGCAGAACTCACCTCTACGGCACGTCCCAGGACCTCCCGTTTCCAGCTGGCTATACGGACATGCCAAGGAGATTTATGGATCCGAGATAGCTGTTGTACAAGAGAAGTGGTCGGAGACATATGGCAACACGTTCAAGTATAAGAGCGTTCTCAATGTCAGTCAGCTTCTTCCTCCTTCCCGTACGATTCTGATTAACTGTGATATTTACACTGTACAGCAAGACGTGCTGTACACGGCTGATACCCGGGCAGTAAGCCATGTTTTCAATCATACAGACGAGTACCAGAAACCAGAGGACGTCCGGTCCAGTCTGGCTGAGCTCCTGGCCGAAGGTGTGTCATCCTTCTAGTCAGACTGTTTCCATCAAAGTCTCTAACTATCCACTACAGGACTGCTGGTAGTGGAAGGTATGGAGGCATGCATGCAACTGTTTTCCACAGTTAAATAGATTTTCCATTATGGCAGGTGAACAACACCGTCGACAGGTTACTCATTTTCGCTTCTATGTGAAATTTTTGCTCATTGTATTGACAATATTGTAGAAAAGGGTCATGGTATGTTACCTTTCGTGGAATGCAAAAATCGTGGCACGATAATCACCTTGTCTAGAACGCCGCATTCAGTCCAGCTCAAATACGAGAGCTTACGGAGATCTTCATCGAAAAGTCCATCCGCGTAGGTCATTAAGGACCTCACTCCGTTCACTTGCTAAATTAGTTTTAGTTGTGCAATGTCTGGAAAGATAGAATGCCCGCAAATGGGGAACTTACACATGTCAATATCTGTGAAGACCTGAGTCGGGTGACGTTTGATATCATTGGATTAGCCGGTGAGCTTTACGCACAATAGTTCTTTGATATTTTGCGTAGACGACTTAAATCTACCAGGGTTCAACCATGATTTTGATTCCATGAACCCTGAAGCGAAACCGGATCCACTCACCAATGCCTTCAAAGCTGTTTTCAGGCAATCGTCATCAATGCCCACCATCGTTCGGATGCTGAAGAAATATGTACCTTTTTTCCGTCAATTCGCTGTATGTCCCTTCTCATTTCTCGGCGTTTCTGCTACCAACTTCGTCTGTCATAGGCGAAATTCATTCAGTTTGAACGGGATCAGGCTTCGGCCCGCAGTGTGATGAACCGTATGGGCATGCAGATGATCAAAGAAAAGAAGGCAGAAATTTCGAGCGCAATCGCCGCGGCGGGATCGGACCAAAAATTGAATAGCGTGAATAGCCGAAACTTATTGACGGTGCTGATCAAGGCGAATATGGATCCTAGCATTTCGCCGAGTCAAAGGCTGTCTGACAAGGATGTTTTAGCTCGTATGTCTGTGCACGTCTGTATTCATGTCGACTCACTGATAATTTCACGCAGAGGTTCCGACGTATGTGCCTTGCCAGAACTCGCTAGACTCTTTTGAACAACCAAATCCGCTTTTAGCTTCCTGGTTGCGGGACACGAAACCACTAGTAACTCTACGGCTTGGGCCATGTTCGCGCTGAGCCAGGCACCTGAGGTACAACATAGGTTGCGTGAGGAGCTCCGGAATGTGCCCACGGAAACCCCGACGATGGATGAGCTATCAGCACTCCCATATCTTGACGCCGTCGTACGTGAAGTGCTGCGCCTCTATGCGCCTGTGCCGATAGCTCTGCGCACTGCGGTGAGGGACGATGTCCTTCCATTGCAGACACCGTGGACAGACATATACGGGCAACAGCACGATAGTATCAAGTATGTTCTTATCTTATCTCGCTTGCCCGACGTTATTCAGTGATTGTGGCGCAGTGTTCCCGGAGGGACCCTCATCGATATTCCTCTCCTTGCGATGAATAGATCGAAGGAGTTGTGGGGAGAAGATGCGTTCGAGTTCAAGTTGCGTACCATGAGACCATCATATCTCTGCGTTCTGCTTACATTCTGCTTTCGTGCTAGGCCGGAACGATGGTCCTCGATCCCTGCCAACGCCCGCAGTATCCCGGGCGTTTGGTCCAACTTGACAACTTTTCTAGGTGGTCCACGGTCATGTATCGGATATCGTTTCACAATCATTGAGTAAGCTCTTCTGTCTGGATGCGGTTGTGTGGTGCTAAGTCTGACATTTCCCTTCCAGGATGAAGGCAATCATCTTCTCGCTCATTCGGGCCTTTGAGTTTGAGCTTGCGATCCCAGCCAGCAGCATCAAGGCGACTTGGGGTTTGGTTCAACGACCTCGTATTCGTGGCGAGGAAGAGAAAGGTGCACAGCTGCCGATGCATCTGAAGCTATATAAGCCACTCTGAGCACCACACAACATTTCCTGCGATGATTATTTAAACGCTCGTGTATTTTTGCGACCATCAGTTGGACTCACAAGCATAAACTCTGGTCTCGTCTTATATATATATATATATA